TTTGTATGAAGATAAGTTAGTCACTTTGTGAAAGTCTGTAAAATATTGTAAATTTATTTTCAATTTTTCAATAAAAACATGCTATTGTAGCATGATTGTGGATTAAAATATATATATATATATATATATATATATAAACAACTTATGTTTTTTTATGAATAAAAAAAGGATGAGCCAATTAACAATATAAAAATAATAAATATAGATCAATTTATTTTTAATAGATATTATCAATATATATATATATATTTTTATATTAGACTTATATCTAGTTTTATTAAATTCTAAATTACATATATTTATTATATTACGTAAAAGTATTAAGATGTATATTTGAGAATAATAAAGAGATATAATAAGCTAAAGCTACAGTATCTTAAGGTTTATTGTCTATTCTTTGATAAAAGAAAATCTAACATTTCTTTAAACATGTTGGTGACATTAAAAGTAAAAGGAGAGCTGTCAGATGAAAACTTTAAATTTTTTCTACTATCAATTATTCATTGAAACTAATATCAAGGATAGAATCAACTTTTACAAATTATTCACTAAATTACTGTATCTCTTTATTTTGAAAAGAAAAGAGAGGAACTTCTTCTATATCTTCTTCTTTTTAGATAGGAGAGAAATAATAATGGATCCTTAAATTATTTAGTATATAAAATTTTACAGATTACTTATATCCTTTTTGAGGGACAAAATTCATAGCTCTTCACTTTAATAGAAACAAAAGTCAGAAAATACTATAAATCAATAATTTGAATAATAGAGAACAATTATAGATAGTTTTTTTATAGTTATTAATTTAAAATTTTTAATTTTTTTTAATAAAAAACATTTGACTTTTGTCTCTGCCTTCTCCTTTAGGAGTCCATCTTTAGAAAGGAATAGTTTCGGAGATTAACTTTATTATTATTATCTTATTTGGAAGTCTGCTTAGAGAATTACTTATTCAAAGATTAAGTAAAACCTATGACTAGAAAGATACCTTAAAACCTATAGAGGAGTTGATAATCCAATTCTAAAGATAATATCAGCTTTAAGTGTAAGCTGCTTATTTAAAAAGATACAACTTTTTTAAAGTTAGGCTAAGTTTTTATATAAGTTTTTCAATTTGATAAATATTTTTAACAGATATTTTCACTAAAAGTAAGATTGGTAGATATCAATTAATAACTAGTTACAAATTGGTTATGTTGAAGAGGAAAAGGAGTTCTATTGATTTTTGATATAAATCTTTAGTTTGTAATCTTTACACAAAACTATGGATCAGTATTAAAAAACCTGCTAGTTAGAAAAAACCTCCTATCTATCTTGTTTGTTTTTATAAAAAAGAAATAGATTTTTATCTATTTATGAGAGCTATTTAAGCCTATTTGACTATCAAGAATGGATAACTTCAATACTAAAAATAATTGAAATATTTTATAACCTTTACTATAGTTGAATAAACTCTTTCTTTTTTGATTTTAAGATATATTGATATCATGCCCTATATTTATCCACACCCAAATATGTGACTTATAATAAATTCCAAATTCCTATAAGACTAAAGAATATATTCAGATATATAAAATAGTCAATAAGAGCTTATTTATCAATCTTGTCCAACATGTTTCATACAATTAATTGAAATTACTAGGATTTGTATTATTCAAAAATTCAGGATTAGGTTGGAATAGATAAAATTCTTCAGAAAGTCATGAATCAGGAGCTTTTAAAGACCACATACTAGTTACAGAGAAAAGTTAAATCTTTTAACTAGTACAGAATCTCTATTATATTTTGTTTCTTTACTTTAAGAGAGTAGTAACAGATATTTCACTATTGACTCTTTTTATTTTAAAAACTTTTTTACTATTGATAATAAAGGTAGAAGCTGAATTTTGCAAATTACAAGAGTTTAGTTTATCTGAAGATGATTATAAATAAGAGAGAAAAGGTAGAAATGATTTCTAAAAGTAGTCTTCAAATTGGTTTAATGAGAGTTTCAAGACTTTATTAGCAAAGAAGTATAATAACTTCTTGCAGTTATCTTTTTTATATGTAGTTAGAGAATTAACAGAAAGAGTTTTTATGTAAAATTTATTTATTTAAAATGTTATCAATATTGTAACTAATAATATTATTTTTAATTTGTATTATAGTATAAAAGAAACATAAAATATCATTACTTTTTTACTAATCTTTTAACTATACACAAAAAAAATATTTGCAAGAAATTACTATATTTTTATAGTAAGAAAGTCTTAACACTTTTCTTAAATTAATTTGAAAAGAAGTTTATAAGTTGTTATCACACTTCTCTTTTTTTTTTTGCAAACACTTTTTTTCAAATAAAAATATAACTTTCAATAACTCAAGTTATGAAACACTTTTCTTATCAATTGCAAGAAAGTTTTGAAAAAAAGAAAACTGAAATGTTTTGATTCTCTTATTTAGTAAAAACATATTATAAAGTTGTCTATATAATAAAAGACTTTTTAGAAAATAACTATCTATTCTCTTATTATGATATTAGCTTTAATAGTGTTTGTTCTTAATCTATTCTGAAGAAATTTGCTTATCTTAATTTAATTCTGAAGTTCTGAGTAACACAAAGTTTTTCACACAATTATTGGACAAAGAATATACTGTATATTAATAAAAAATATAAATAAACTCTTATTGATTATTTTACATGTTTTAAATACATTTTCTTAATTCTATAAGAATCTAGAATCTACTATAAATCATTGAATTTTGATGTGAGTAGATATAGGACATAGTACTATACAAGTTATTAACTATCTCAGAAAGAGTCTATTCAATTATGATAAAGGTTACAAGATATAATATCTAGTTTTTAGAGATGTAATTATCCATCTCTATTTATCAGATAGATTTCTCCTAGTTCTATTGAATAGATGAAGATTTGAAGATAGAATATTAGTTCTTCTAACTATTCCTAGATTCAACTTTTAGGATATAAAGAATAAAGTATATAAAAAGTAATCTTTATTATACTGTTTTTCAATAACAAGGAAAAAAAAAATTGATTTGTAAATTGATCTACTGATATTAATATATATACTATTATTCTTAACCTTTCTTATTTTTAATGAGATTGAATTCATTTTCCTTTCCCCATGTCTCTTGAAAAAGTGATTCAGTAGCTTATTCTAAAGTCTTTTCTCTTTTCCTTGAGCATTAGTATTTTATTCTTGTATTTGATTTGTATTAATATTTTGAGAACTTTTGCAAGGAAGTATAAGTTGATTATCAAAGATAATAGTTAAGATTTTCACATTTTTCAAGAACCTAGATAAAGATATTCGAAATATGACTAATATTGTACAAAAATTATTGGAAAATCTGAAACATGATCAAATCATATAATAGTGTTTCCATTATTATATGTGAATGGATATTTGATATTATCTAAGAAGTTTTAATAAATATCCTAAATAAAATTTTCTTTTCCTATATAAGTCACATAGCAAGGAATTGTATATATAGATTAACTATTCCATCCGCTTATTTAATTTTTGACCTCCCTTCTTCCTCCTCTTTAAAATTTTTCAATACTAGTAATCTTTTGCTAGTTTTCACTTCAGAGGCAACAATATGCCCAAGGATGGCCCTGGTGATCATATCATTTAACTTTATAGGTTTCAATTATATTTTTAATATGTACTTTATTTTACATTTAAAAACTATATCCAATAAAGTAAAGGCGGAGCTGGCTATTAAAAAAAAAAAATTACAGTATAAAGTATATTTTTATTTTCGTAATTACTGTATAAAGGATTGCGGTATACAGTAATTAGTATCGAGTAAATTATCATATGATGTCGTATTAAGATGACATGTGAAATAGCAAGATAATTAAATCAAATATAGTAACGCCTTCACGTAGAGGTGTACTTACATAATTCGTTTCTTGTATTTATCCCTTAATGGATTTTGGTATATAAAGAAGTGTCCATTAAGGGTGTGTCAAAGGGGTGTCACTAACAGAATTTTCTAAAATGGCGCCCGCAATGTATCGCTTAGTGCGATTGTTGTTCAAAATATCGGCCAATGCGTTCTACGAAATTGAGGTGGATGGGACAGAGAATATACCGCCGGACGGATGCCCAACATTAATCTGTCCTAATCACTCAAATTCCTTAACCGACCCTATTTGCCTCTTGAGTTCAATTCCAAAGAAAAAACGAGATATGGTAATCATTTTAATATTTGGCAGTGAAATACAAATTTAGTCAATCTCCTAATCATCAAATCACCCAAGATTCGAATGACGGCCAAGGATACATTTTGGCAGCAAAATAGTGTATTCAGGTATTTGGTTTTTTTGTGTTTCATTAAAATCTGACGTTTTTAGTGGCTATCTAATTTTAATTAATTAATTTGGTAGTTACCTCATAAGGTGCATTGGTACAGTACCGATTAAGCGGGCCAAGGTAATTAATTTAAACAATCGAATGTCGGTTTAAAATTTGATTCATAAACAATTGCACCATGCGTATCATCATTACAGGATTATAATTATGCAAGAGTAGATAATTCGGATTCATTTAAAAAATTGATCGAGGTATGAGCTCAGTCAACCCTCACTACTTTTTTTTTTTTGAAGTTTTTAATAACGACTTTTCCTTTTTCACAATAAATTAGACCTTGGAGCAGGGAAATTGTGTTTGCATGTTTCCTGAAGGAATCAGCAGATACAATAGTAAAGTCGCGCCTTTTAAACCTGGTGTTGCATGTTAGTTTGATTTCTTAAATACTTCCTTCGCATAATTAATTTATATGTAACGGAATTTCTAACGAAAATTAAATATTGTGAATAAATAGTGATAGCCAGTGAGGTAGGTGAATCGGTTCATGATGAATTCCTTTGGTTATGAAATGAGTTAGGCGGTTTACTTTTTTTTTTTTTTTCGCTTCCTAGACCCTTACGCGCAATAAAGATCGAGAGGACTTTTCAATTAACTTATTAACGGTTTCAATAGTTTACATACATCGAGAAAAATTTAGATCAAATGTATTGGTTAAATTTAACCCGCCCATCGTTCTCACGCCAAAACATCACTCACTCTTAAAAAATATAACCAGCGATGAGCAAAGAAAGACTAGCGAGGACGCAATACGTGAATTAACAAGTGCAATGGAGCAGATGGTGCGTTCAAATACTCTTGATGCACCCAGTTGGCAGACTTTAAGGATAGCACATACTGCTAGAAAATTGTACGCGGGCGACCTCGGGACTCGCATCTCCTTAGCCGAATATGTGCGCCTTACAAAAAAATTCATAGATGCACTCTCGAAAGTTGAAGCTGAAAATTCGGTTGTTAGCAACGATAACGAAGAAGCGAACGTCGAGGAAAAGGAGATAATCGTCGAACGCATTGATGCTGGAAATCTATTGCACGTTCGTGGTGATCCCGGTCATAAAAATGAGGATCGACCAAGCGTAGACTTGGACTCATTGACAAAAGATTTGGCCGTAAGTATATGCAAAATGAATTTTACGTGCGCACTTGGTGTTGAATTCTAACCAGTTTTTTTGACGTTTATCAAAGGCGTATCAAAATCTTCTTGATTCGTATGGAATAAAGGACTACAGATTTAGTCGTTCCACTCAACTTTCAAAGCCCGAACTCGTAGGGAGAATTATCATTCGTGCAACTTGGGCGCTAGTTCTTGCCGCACTTGCGCTTCCCGGGTGGATTCTATGGTCACCAATATTCATTACCGTGAAGTGTGTATCTCGCAATATATCGTTCTTTCTTTTATCACAAGACTAGTTCTAACATATTTTATTCCTTGCATTTCGATATTACAGGTATAAAGAAAACCAAATAAGAAAATTGCCCATTGAGGATAACTTTGACGAGATTACCCAATACAAATTACTTATTTCCGTATTATTTTTAATTCCAATATACATAACGGCCTTGTTCTTGACATTACCTTTCATTTTGATTACATCATGGTTAATACCATTGCTCATGTGGCTAACCATCCGATGGACCGAAGACCTATTCCAAGCTTGCAGATCTTGTATTTCTTTAACCAAATTGTTGTTGCTTCCCGATCGCGAGTATAACCATGTTAAGGGTATTCGTGAAGAAATCAAAAGTAGGGTTCAAGAATTAGCGGTGAATGAACTTGGTTTACCAGAAAATCCCGAAAGTTTTATTACTAAAACGAGGCCGAGAGGGATGGGCTACTTCTCTATTAAACGTAGGAGAAAGAAGGATTACAATGAAGTTTTGAGACTGTGGGACGTTTCGGCCTACGATTAGGTATTTCCATTGGTCACCCGACTATTTCGTTGGAAGACGTTCTTGCACTTATCACGTATTTACTGTATTTGCATAGTCATATTGATTGTGATCTCTGAAAAAGAAAGACATAACTTTTGTTTATTATTTTTTTTTTTTATATTATTTCTTTTTCTATTTCGTTTCGCGCCCCAAAGTAAACAAAATCATTCCTTGGTCAAATTTATTAGGAGACATATTTTTATAAAATAAAAATATCATTTTGATGATGAGTCAATGCCTGTGTAAACACTTGTATTATTTATTGGATTCGGGGAATCTCAAATATTAAAATTTCATCGGTTGTCACAAATAGATATCATAATCAAAAAATTTTTACCATTGGCGAAAGTCATAATATTAAGAAGTAATGAGACTGACAAAGGAAGCTGTTATGTGGTCATGGAAATCTCAAGTTTTCTTATGTCATCGAACAGGTCTAACAATGTCGCAGATGACCATGCTTGAGTAGGACACGCAAATGGACATTCTGCTCCATCTTTATTTGTCAATTCGGGCAAACCGGCCCAAGGACTTGTCTCGATTATTGAGCGATGTGGAAGGAGATGTCGAGTGATGGCGTGAACTGTTTCGTTTGGCTGCAAAAGTCAAACCAAGAAATATTAGTGTAACAGAATGATACGGTGTTTACATAAATTCACTCATTAATCCCTTACATCATTTTTTCCGCGCCCAACTTGGGTATCAAAGTGGAAATATGCACGGAGGAAGTAGCCGGTGATCCAAAGCCATTCCTTGTAAATTTAAAATTGACCTCAGTTTTAAGGTTTGCTATAGCGTTTTAAACAATTCGTGACTACCTACAGGGCCCTGGTGATAATTCCATCCTTTGGCCTATAAATATAAGACCACCATTCTTCAGATCATTCAGGAAATCATGGAACGCCATGCGCGTGGCATAAGCTTCAAAGAGTGGAACGCTGGTCCTAACCTTGATAGTTCTATGACCGCACAGGGGTTCCTTGTTAATGTTAGCGTCGATTGGAATACTGGTTTTTTGATGGGTGGCAACAAGTATAACTGTGGCACTTGGATGGATAAAATGGGGGAATCTGAAAAGGCAGGAAA